AAAAAGCCCTAACGGTTTAGGGTTTAGGTTTAGGGTTTCTTGGTTTGCTAAGACCCCTGACCCTCAATCGTAGATGAGTAGGAATAGGCCCAAGGTCTGGTGGCATCCCAAGAAAGGCATTGGAGTCTGAATGCTGGGACGGGCTCAACTAGCGAACATCGTCCCTAGTCCCTAGTCCTGGGGCTCGTCGTGCTGTGCAGCTGAACTTCAAAGCCAGCATGGTGACATAGCACACGCACTACTAGAGAAAGTCCGAGGACAGCCTCATCGGGGCCACATCGCTGTTGTTCTCCCTGGTCCCCGTTCCCGTCCTCATCATCCTTTTTCTCACCCCTTTCCTCCTCAGCCTTGTCGTGTATTGCCCGCTCAGACCAGCATCAGCAGCATCATCGAGTTCTAAGAAATCCGCCATCGTCATCGTCGTCGCCATCATCACAGCAGCCGCTATTGTCATCAATACCCTCAGCATCACCAGCGGCATCAATCTCATTCTTGCCAACCACACTCTGGCTAAGGCGGATCCGCTCAAAGTCATGCCGCCTCCTACGCTTCTAACCCCAAGCTCCGCAACCCTAACCCACATCAAATCCGAGCCTGTAGCCTTCAAATCTCCCGCCCTTATAAATCCCTAAGCCCCTATAAATCCCTAAATCTCCCTAACCCTCCAGGTACCCACTATGTAGGGCCTTTGGGGCTCTAGTACCCTATATAGTAGGTACCTGGGGGGTCAGGGTCTTATCGCTTTGACCAAAATGTGTCAGGTCTGAGAAGAAGAGCCGCAAGGCAGTCGGAGACTCTGCATCCGCTTCAGCTGTTTTCTCAAAATCTCGAGGGCTTTTTGTCTCTTTAGAGTTTAGGGTTTAGGGTTTAGGGTTTCTTTGTCTCAAAGTTCTTAATGGTGTCTGTAAAGCTGAAAAAAGGCGTTGGCTTTTAGGGTTTACAGGGCGTAGAGTCAGCGCTTAGGGCTTCGACTTTGCACTTGGGCACTTGACAGCCTGGGTGGGCTGGGGTAAGGTAAGTCATGTTGGAGCTTCCAAGGTCGCTAAACCCCAAACCCTAAACCCTAAGCCCTAAACCCCAAACCCTAAACCCTAAACCCTAAACCCCAAACCCCAAACCCCAAACCCTGATACTTGGCGAAGCTAAGGAAGCCCCCACCGGCTTATTGAAACATCCCCAGTCGATTTCCAGACTCCAGGACAACAAACGTCAATCCCAGCCTTGTGGACCAGCTCTTTAAGTACGTTGTTAGCCTTATTCCTAAACCCGAAACCCTAAACCCGAAACCCTACACCCTAAATCCTAAACTCGAAACCCTAAACCCGAAACCCTAATCCCTAACCCTAAACC